GGTGGAGGTGGGAAGGCTGGGGCAGGGCACAGCTAACTGGCAGGATCCAGAGGTCTGCAACTCGCTTAGGCACTTGAACATAAACAAGAATTCATCCCGGAAAGGTACCGCTCTCCACCTGACCGCCCGGTAGGAGAAGGCTGTGGGCTCTGCCAGGGGAGCGGGCCCTCTCCTCCGCATCTCCCAGCGAGGAGCACATCCGCCTCAGCCAGGCTGGGCCCTAGGTGTGCTCAGGGTCGCAGGAGGTGCAGGTGCCACCCACGTGCTGTCACACTCAGCACAAGGGAATGACAGGGAGGTTCGGGAAAATCAGTGTAAAGGAGGAGCCTTGCCAGCACTTCCGAGGCTCGGAAAGAGCGCCCCGCCCCACCCCGCCCCGCCAGCTTTGGTCTTGTTCCCTTGGTGCCCCTTCTCAGAGAGGCATGAGGTGCGGGTCACCCTTTCCAGTACAGGAGAGCGGCCTCAAGGCCAATCGGAATGAGGAGCTTCCTCTCCACCTACTGTGATGCCCCGGTGGCGTGGTGGCCGAAACGCCAGAGAGCTGGGGTAGCTGTTTACGTTAAGGGCATTCATGTTCTTGTTTTCCAGTTTAATAGCTAGCTTCAGTGAACGGTGAAGTGGAAAGTGACCCTCACAGGTCTATGCTTCCAGTAAAGCAAAAACAAGAAAGCTTTCTGTGCTCCAAGGAAGCCAAACACCAAACAGTAAGACTCAGCCTGGAAGTGCTGGGAAGAAGACACCCTAACGGGAGGCTGAACCTTGAGCGAGTCCGAGAGCCGCCTCTGCCAGGGAGCCTGCAGGCTGTGCCCCACTCTGGTCTCCACAGCGGCTGGCCGAGGTGCAGGGGCCGGCGGGAAAGGCACGGTACCGCTCCCCTGCAGACGGGGCTGGGTCCCAGTGCACCTGCGACCCTAAGCAGCCCCAGGGTGGGCTCCCTCACTGGAACCATCATCCAAAGCTGTGGCTGTTCCTTTCTTGTACTTCAAGGACACCTGTCAAGGACGGAGGGGAGATGGGGAATTCAACAGAACCAACTCCTGGAAAACCTTTTACAATAAAAGGAACAGCTAGAAAAGGAGGGGTAGCAATTTCTTAGATCTTCAGGTCGGCTTGGAGCTTCTGTCCCTTGTCCAATGTCCCTGACTAAAAAGTCACCTAGCCTGAGCGAGGCAGGGACCAGCCGCATCCCAGGCAGCCTGCTCCATCCTGGACTTTGGGCACTAGAAGTTCCTAGGCTGGACCGACATCTGGATTCTCAGTCATTCAGCTGCTCCTGTGGGCCAGAGAAGGCTCAGGACAAGGAGCAGAAGCAGCCACAGCAGGGTTGGCGCTGACACAGCTCCAGGGCACCAGAGCCTCCTGTTCCCACAGCAGCCCGCCTGGCCATCTTCCCCGCTGTGGAGCGGGAGGGAGCAGCAGAACACTCAGAACAAGCTGGCACCTAAGCCAGCGACAGGAACTGTTCCCTGCTTCTCACTTCACTACCAGGGCTGCAATCGGGGGGTGCAGGTGAGACTGACCCCCTCGGCCCTGGACGGGTAACTGCCACCTGTGGTTCTCCTGCGTCCTGACACGGCCGGGCATCTCTCCCTATACTGTCACCTTGCTCACCAAGCAGGAAGACCCCGGAGGACCCTGGACAAAGCCAGGCTGTGGGGTCTCGGTCCTCATCCAGCTCCCCCAGGACTTCAGTGCGAGCAGGTGCCAGCACGCCAGGCCAGGCGGTGCCTTCCAGGGAGCAACAGTGGGCAGGCTGCCTTCGGCCAAGGTGAAGGGGTGCTGGATGCTGCTGGGCCTGATGCGGCTACAGTGGATCTGACCGGGAGGACCAGGGAGGCAGCACAGCACCCATCCACATACGCACGCGACATCTGCAGCAGCTGCTGCCCCGTGAGCTCAGGAGGGCTGCACGCTGGTCCTCGGCAACACTGATTTAGAATGGCATTAAAACTTGCTTCTGGTGTTTTCTCCCCACAACTCTACTTCATGGCAGCACATTCGGCACTTTGAGCCGAGGTGGCAGACAAGCAGTGTCCTCTGGGTGTGGGCAGACCGTGGGAATGTCCCGCTGGCTTCTTCACAGATGTCTCACAGCCACCAGGGCAGCTCATCCACTCTGTTCTCAGTCTCTAACCCAGATAGGTGGCCTGTAGGAGAGCGGCACTGGGGGACACAGGGTCTTTCCCTGAACCAACCGCTATTCCACTACAGGTATTTGGAGAGGAACAGAACTAAAAGAAGCCAAGGCCAGAAACACTCTCCCGCTCTCTGTGTCTGGAGGTGGAGGAGGACACTTACAAACAAGGAGCCGTCTCAGCAGAGAAGGAATTTTAAGCAGCGATTCTGGCAGGCTAGGGTTCCTGCTGATGCAGAAGGCAAAGGTCTGTACAAGGGCAAGTGGCAAAATAAGAACAAAAGCCAGAGCTGTACTGTCCTCAACAGCTGCTGAGCAGTCCTGAAAGTGCAGCCCAGGAAAGGGCAGAGCTTTCGGACCCCAGCTCGCCCAGCACGACTGCCCAGCACGACTGGCCACTTCCTGCTGACACACGCAACCGGACGAAGGCTCCAGAGAGGGATGGGGAGACAGAACAGCACCCCAGCCTGTTCTAGAGGAAGGCTAGCCAGTGACTAAGTACTCCCACCAAGGCCACCTCAGGGAGGAGAAGAGCAGCAGCTGTGGCCAGGAGACTGCAGGACACAGGATGGGCCGGTCTGGGCAAGAGCAGGGAGGCCAGGGAGAAGAGAGAAGAGTGCTCTGAGCACTAGGACACAGCACAATGGCACAAGGGTGGCACCTGCCAGGTAAGAGAGGTGTGAGCGAGACGGGGCACTTGCACGCGTCCTTTTGCTTCAGTGACGATGGCAGACTGCAGGCGCCAGTGTCCACCCTTCTGGGTCCTTGTTGGGCTGTCTGCTCTGCAGCTTAAGAGCCAATGAGGAAAACACTATGCAACTTCCGTAAACTTCCATTTGGTGAGTGCGTTTGAATGGTGACAGCAATGGAGATGTCAAGTGACTCAGGGGAACTCTGAGGACACTAGGTGCAAGCTGAGAAGATGTGGCCGTGTGAGGCCAGCTCGAGGGACAGAGGGCGGGGGCCTCCGTGGAGGCTGCCTGGTGCCTGCCCAAGGTGGAACAGGCTGAGCTGCTGTGAGAGAGGCCTCAAAGAACTCAGAAGTCAGTCACATGGAGAACAATAATCAAAGCTTCCATTTTGGGGCTGAAATAACTCCAGATCCTTCTCTTTCACTTCGGGAGAACATGAATACTATGTCATTATTTTAGTTTACTGAGTCGCTGTTCCAAATGTTCTTGGGAGCATTAGTGCTAAAAGGGAACAAGGGATGGGAGCTCTGCTATTTTCAATCACATAAAGGACAGAAATCCTCTTAATTATGACCATGCCAATCTACATCCTGCTAAAACAGCTAATTACATGTCAGGAGGACACTCAGTCATTCAGAACAATTGCCATTATATTTTTATATATTCATTCTGTGCCACCCCCCTCAATTACCATGGTTACAATTTGAAAAGATTCAGCCAAACCTCCATTTGATCGCAGCAAACCAATGTGAATTTGTGAGTTAATTATGGCTGTATGCAGCCAGTCTTATTTAAAAGAGAAGATGAAAATGGAGTCAGGGGAGCCAGCCTCCCAGGAGCTCGGCAGGGCTGCACGTGCACGCGCCACCTGCTGCCCGACGCCCCGCACAGTGCGGTGCGGATACTGAGGACCGATGGACAGACACCAAGCGGAGACGGGACGTCAGCAGAGGACAGCGGCTGGGCTCCCTGCTCACAGGTCCTGGAATGTGCCCAGTAAACTGTCAAGTAGTTTAAAAGTGCCAGGCGGGTGTCACCTGAATGGAGACCTTGATTCAGTTCTACCCAAAGGTCAAGAATGATTGAAAAAAAAAAAAAAGGGTGGACACTGGTGACGCCAAGGCATCTGTGCTGGCAAGATGAGTACTGGGTGCAGCCTCACAGGCTCTCGCCTATGTCCCTTCCTTTCCTGACCCCAAAAGAAATCTAGCGCTGCAGGAAACTGGATTTCTCAGGCTTATCTTTCCTTTCGCTATTTCTCATCCCTATCAAGAGTAATGAAGGCCACATGGAAATCACTCCGTTTATAAACTTGCAGCCTTTGAAGGTGCGAAGATGCAAAGTCGTATTTCTGAGAGAGGACTCAGACCTAACAGGCGTGGTCCGTGAGACACAAGAGCAGGCACTTCTCACTTGTGGTTCGCAAAGAAAGGGTACCCGAGAGGCCTGCGGAGCCCTTCCTGCTGCTTCTTGGGAGCGTAAGGAAATCTGTGGTGACAGGCATCTGTGAGCCCAGAGGCTCACCTGCACGCAGGGTGCCCAGACGTGCTGACCCCGCTGCCTGTCTCCGGGAAAGCCTCCTGCTCTTAGGAGGGGCACCGTCTTCACTGTGGACAACTCAGTGGCTCTGGGTAACGTGAGCCGGATGCTGGAAATGAGACAGTAGGAGGGTTTCGGGGCACACAGCTCAGTTTGCCAAATTCGGTATGGCCGACAGCTGATCCCCAAGTCCTGAGTAACATCTGCTATCTAAAGAACACACAGGAAGGAACGCGGTATGAGCAACACCTCCCCTGCCCCACAAAACCCCAGCCCGCACCCCCAAACCACAGTGTGCCCAACAAATAAATCTGGCTCAGTAAAGCTATAAATGGATTTGGAACCCAGTAGTGAAACATTACCGATAATCACAACAACAAAACGACACAATCCATCGCCACTCTAGCCTAAGATTTAAATCACAGAGATGAACACAGAAACCAATGCACACCATAGGAGAGCAGGACTAGTCAATGAAGAGGGGGTGCTACTGAGCACAAGAGCATCGACCACAAGAAAAATTATTGCCTACGAATCTGTTGAGACAGGGAAAAATACTCTGGCTGTTCTCTGAACAAAACATAAAAAGCATCTTTAAAGGGCAGAGCCACAAGTTAAATGGGAAGACTCTTCTAACTAAATCCTTCTGAAAACCAGAGAGAGGGCGAGGCTTGAAGTTCACATTCTTAGGGTGCCATCATTTGGGAAGAAGGGGTTATTCTCACGGCTGCAGGCAGAGATGAGTGGCTCACTCGGGACTGGAGCCATGCCTCTCTCAACAGCGTGTCGTGTTCCCAGACTGCCGAAGGGGGCGCTACTGAGCGGCACCTGCCTGCTGCCAGAAGATAAAACACTCCAGCAAAGTCAACTCAAGACCACAACATAATGGTGAAACAGAGAGAAAACAAAGAGGAACTGTTGAGAGATGGAGAGGGAGTGACAGGAGACTTCTGACTGAATGAGTCTATTATACTGGGTGACTAATGTTGGGTACCCAGGAGCAAGTTTCTAACAAGTTCTTAGTTCTTGATGATGAAGGCCAAAAGAGCGAGAGCTGAAACACCTATCAGTAAGTTCTTCATGAGTTATCCCCTTTGAGGTAAGAATCTATCCAGACACCAGCACTAAGACAGATGCTACCGTATCATGAATCTGCCATGAACTGGGATACCGGGTTTGCATACTTTAGTACAAACGAGCTTCTTCCTCACCTCTGCAGCTGGGGGAAAGGTACCTGAGTGGGGGCTCTCTGGCTCCCTGTCCCAGGTTCCCTTTTCCTGTGAAGGGCCACCGAAAGACCTGAGACTGAGGAAATCTGCCCGACGGGTACCCCAAATTACCAGCTCTGCCTAAATGAAGCAGGTCTGTGTGGTACTCAGTGGCATGAGAAGGTCTCAGCGTCGTGTACTTGCTGTGTTGCCTGCCTGCTTCTGTGCCCTGGCCACATGCGGGTGGAAGTCTGCTTAGATAGCCTATCTCAGGGTGCCTCTGCGAGAGGGGCAGGTGGGATGCTTACCCATCTGACCACAGTAATTCAGTTACAGTATCTAAATAAAAACAACAGATGAATTAATTACACAAATAGACCCCACACTTTAAAAAAATCTTCCTTGACTAGAAACGAACAAGGCTCCAAGAGTCTTCTGGGGCCTGAAGGAGGACAGCAAGAAGAACACGTTCAGAGCCACCAAGCAGCATGGGATGTGACTTTGAAGAGTCTGGCTTTTCCTTTCGGCGATAGAGCACTTGAGGATTTCTTGTTTTGCTTTTTTGTTTTGTTTTTTTTTTTTTTGGTACCAGGGATCGAACTCCGGACCTTGCGCCTTCGAGGCAGGTGGCGGCACCATTGAGCTAAATCTTTGGCCCAGGATTTCTATCTTAATACTACACCTAAAACCCAAAAGGCTCAGGGAAAAGATTTTCCATCTGAAATAGTGGCTGCTAGATTTGCCATTATAAGAACTAAGGTGGTCTGGACAAGAGAGAGTAGAACCAATCCCAGTGACAACAAAAAACTGAAGGGAGATTTAAATCTCGACCCCAAAGACACTCATTCTCACACCTCGTGAGAAAGCGAAAGAGCGTCCTCCCCCGTCCCTCCAGCCCCTTCCCTGGCAGCACTGCTCCTGCGGTCTTGCCACTGCCAGCCTGGGCAGCGCGGCTGCACAGACGCCAACTCCCCCTTATTCACCGACGCTTTTTTCCTCCTCAGAGGTCTTAAAACAAAAAACACTTTAGCTCTTCTGTGGCAATCACTGGATTTCTTTAGAAACTGCAGCTGTCTTAGCAGTTTGAGTCTGTTCCTTTAAAAAGACTAGCAAGAACAAATGACGCTAGGAATCCCACCCTAAAGAAGCTATCAATTATAATAATCTAACTACAATAAATCATGGATGTGGCTTGTCAGAGAATACATTTTTTTTCCTCTCTCCATGTTCTTTCTGATTCAACTGAGAAAAAGCAGACAAAATTCCACCAAAATGGAAGGATATTAAAATAAGAGGAAAGAAAGACAAGAGACTCACAACTGAAGAAGTCCAACAAAGAGTATGAGGAGTTTGGGGAGGCTCGTTCCTGAGAATAACAAATGCTACTCTTGAATTTGTTGGTTCAAGTAATACAGTAACACAGAGAAGACGGCTCCATTTCACAACTCTTGGAAGTCGGGGAAAATGCACACATCTCCCCCTGAAATGCAGGGACGGGGCAGGACCAGACCCGGCCTTGACTCTTACTTCACAGATACAGGGAGGCAGCACTCATGCCCTTGCAAAGATTCCTCGCATTTCCACAAGCACAACATACAGCTGAGGGAATGGTAGAGTCAGTGCTGCCTGGAGTGCGGAGACCAGCTGAAAACTGGCAGATAGTCAGCCTCCCCACAAGGGGAGGACAAGCAAGGTTGGCAAGCACATCTGGTGAGGGTGCGGGGGAGGCAGCGAGGAGATGGCATCTTACTTCTCCCTCAGAAACCCTTTCAGTCAGGGACAGAAAGACAGAAACCCCGGTACTCCGCCCAGCCTTTCCCTAAAACGAGGCTTCCCGAGACAGAGGAGGGATGGAGCCAGGCACAAAACGCGCAGCCCTTGTGCCTCTTCCGCCACACCCTACGCTCCACGCTGAAGGCCGTTTCTTCTGGCCCAGTGCCAGCGCATCACTGAATCGGATGCCAAGAGATCACTTTCATACAAGGCCAGCAGATGTAATTTTCTTTGATGCATGAATAGTTCATCATTTTGCTACTGGATGACAAGGTGATCACAGGGTGACTTTATAACGCAAGTTCACTGTTTGGTATTTTGAGTTCTCAAAATGAAAAAAAGATTTATCAAATATAAATATCTTTAAAAAGTAACAAAAGTGCTACATATGTGGATCAAGGAAAAAAATTCCATTAGTTACTGCCGCTTAAAGTAGATTAAACTTTACAAATATTACCACATCCATTATCAATATGGCTTCCAATTATTAAATAAATTGCCTGTAGCAATATAGCTTTTCACACCTCTACAAGGACAGAGTAAAGGGAACAACAAAGCAGTCAACATCCTGTTGTATCTCGCACACCCACCATGGAAGAGGTAAATGTCCCCTGCTTTTTTCTGCTCCTGTTTAAGCAAGTGTTTGCATCTGTGATAGTCAAGTCAGCAAAATCCCCTAAGTCCTCCATGGACTCAGACTGAGGGGGCTTCCGCTAATGGATACAAAGGCTGCGCTCTTTCACTCATTTTTGACCTTAGCTCCATCCTCGAAAGACTTTTTTGGTAGCAGGGAAAGGGGACACCAGGGCAGCCTCCAAGACTTTTCCAGGCAGGCACAGCTAAGTGTGCCACGGAATGTGCAGTGGTTCTGAGGACTGGGCTGATCATCATCGGACATTCAGCTCATATTTTTCTCCAATGCTCTCAAGCTGATTTTTTTCTTTCTCATAACTTGTCTTTCTGTCTTGAATCATGGTCCCAAAGGCAGAAGGCAGTATTTTACCTACTAGGTCACACAGCTTGTGAGAGGAAAGGATGTCTGTGTCAGGCATGTTAACACCAACAAATGTGAGCTCGAGCTTTCCATGGACATTCTCAGCACAGCACCCAAAGAAGTGTAATCTAGCCACGGTGTGACTATGAGGCACGGCTTATTGCAGCTGAAATCAGTGATTCTCAGGCTGAGGTGCGTTCTAGTGTTCCTTCCCTCTGGAGACTCCCCCAGTGGTGTCTGTCAGTCCTGTGCCACTACCTCAGCTTGCATCCTATCAGTCCGGGGAAGGGAAAGGTACAGACTAGTGTTACATGTATCTAACGGTACCCGAGATGACACAAAGCCTAATACGTGAGAACTGAGGGCTATCTAAATACCCGGAAGCACTTTCTTGGAATGCTAAGACGGAGCAGCAAGATTTTCTAGCCTCGGGGGCTGAGAGGGGAAGTTTGGTTGGTCAGTTATTATTTACTGGGAATTAATACTGAGAGAGTATATGCAAAGGCTGAGGGCACCATGCCATCTTCACAGAACAAGACCCTAACGGCTACCTGACATACAAGAAACTGCAAGTTATACTGTAAGAACACATGTTAAGGACCGAGGAAAGTCTGCTAAGGTGCTACGTCTAAACTAAGTTAACTTGTGTCTAACCCTCCCTGTCAGTCATCATCCAGGGCCTCTGTCTTGATTTCGTTGGTTCCTTGTCGGGCCAATGCCAAGATAGTATGGTTGACTGCTGCCATTTCCACAGCTAACGAGATGGGGTCTTGGTGGTCACTATGGCTCATGCTGTCATCCTAGGTGTGCAGAAAGAAGAAGCCAATGTTATCAGTAGACTCCAATCCTCCAGCTCACAGAGAGGCATGCAGGGGCTCAGGGAGGCAGAACACGTGCGGAGGAAATGATGAGCACCTCATGGCAGAGTGGAGGTGAACTGTATTCAAGTAGACACTGAATGGATATCGGTTCAGAGGCTTCTGGTTGACAGTTTTATTACTTAAAAAAAACAAAATATTTTTTCTCACTGAGAATTTTATTCATTCTATCAAAAAATTGCATGAGGTGATCAAACCTGGACTGACTGATAAAAAACCAATAATTTGGATCTCCTGTTGCAACAAATACAGCATGAATCATTGTAGGCCACGCTAGTAAGCTATTCAATTGTGGATTTATACTTATCTCATAAATAGGTTATTAGTATTTTTCACAGCTCTCTACTGTACTGAGAAAGCAAGAGAAAACTACAGGCAGCAACATCTTGCAGAGAAGGAAAAAAACAGGAATTCTCAGTTATGGAAGACAGTTATGCCAAAAATGGCTGTGGGAAGGCGTGGCGAGGGGTGAGCAGGCCTCTGACTCAGAGCCTCTGCTCTCCTCCCTCAGGGTGAGCCCCTCACACAGTAAGGCTTTGAGGAAAGCTGGCATTCCAGGGCATCTGTCACGCACAGGGGTGTGTTTCTCCCCATCACATCTTTAGGGGACTGTGTATCACAGAGTTTTAGAAAGGGAAAGTCCCTTGGGGGAAAGCATGGGATGTGCTGCCCTCAGGGCATCTACAAGAGAGATGGAAATGACCCATCGGTACTGGCTGATTGAAAACTATCAGGAATGTTTCCAGCTAGAGAGACAGAACATTCTCTGAGTAAAAGACATGGCTACGATTGGAGTCCAAAGGGGGAAAAAAGGTAACCTTTGGGACATGTGAGCCTGTTTCACTGTGATTCTCACAGAACAGTCTTCAGGATTTAAAAAAGGATTGCATGGAGTCCCACTCACTCACCAAGTATCTGAGGGCAAGCTGACAGACGGGCTGTCAAACAGCTGGGAGGTGGAAGAGCACAGTTGGCCACATTTACGAACTAACTGGCTGAGGGGCCAGGAAAATGACCACAGGAAAGAGCAAAAGCTTTTTGGCTGGAGTCTGAGGAAGGGACCATATGTTGTCTGCGCTTTCCAAATGGAGATGAAACTCAGATCTTATACAAATTGTGATGAAATCTGTCAACACGTACGTAGGGGTAAAGCTCCCCAGTCAGTTACTGAATTACTCCATGCAGTGACTACAGTTCAATACATTTTCCCCAAGCAGTGCAGAACAGGACAGGGGAATGAGCAGGCATGCGGGTGTGGTGTATATGCGGATGCGTGTGTCAACAGGCCAGAGACGGGGGAACCACTCTGGGCACAGGGTTCTCACTGCAATGGGGCCGGAGTGGTGGGCCTTCCATTGTGCCCTGCTCCAGTACATGTTTAGGCCGGGGTCACAGCTGCCCAGCTGCCCCTAGTACTTCTCAAACACTGAGTGTGTGTGGTGAATGGTATAACTTGCTTGTTTGGATCAGATCCTCCTCTCTTCTTCTACCTTCTCTGCTTCTCTGCCTCCCTCTGAACTTCTTCCCTCCTCCTCCTCCCCATTGCGTACTTGCCAAGTATCCTGTTGTATGACAATAAATCCATGTGGGTGAGTAGCAATTTCTCAAATCAACAGGACAGCTGAATCTTACCACATTCCTTTCAAAGTACACGACAGTCTAACTAGACACATGAGCAGAGTGGAGGGGCACCGACTCTTCCCACCCCCGCCCGGCACCCACGTCTTCACGGCGCTGTCGCCTGCCCCCCTGCTCAGCACCAGGAACCTCGGCCTGCACTCTGGCCGCTCACCTGCTCGGAGTAGTCGTTCCCATCGACGTCATCGCTGTTGGAATGGCCGCCTGGACTCTGCACGTCTATCCCATGACTCTCCAGGATTGCTGCTTCTTCGACAAAAGCAAATAGATCCCTAAATCATCTGTGCCTTATCATAATGGCCACAGCACAATTTCTGCCTTTAGGGAATCAGAACATAAAGGAGAACCTGTGGTCCTCGACACCATGACATCGTGGTTCTTAGACTGCAGATGGGTGAAATTCCAACGCACGCACGCACGCAGCCAAGGGAGACACACCCTCCCCATTCTGGAATCTCTGCCGCTCCGCACACTGTACTGTCCACCTTAACTGTGAGCTATTTCATAAAATTTTCTATCTAATTAAACAGCTTTCCTGTCTTGGTGTTCTATGAAGCATTTGAGAATTGGAGTGAACAGGAAGCATAATTATTAATGAAATGTAATTTCAGAAGCTTAAAAGCAATTCCTTACCCCTATCTCACCAATTCAAAATTTTTATTTTTCTTCATTGTTTTTGTGTCCTAACTGGGAAGGCTTTATTTCCTCCAGTTCTCCTTAGACAGCTTCAGTAATTTCTCCCTTTTTCCAGCTTTACTAAGGTATACAGCACAAATAAAAATTGTATACATTTAGCTGATCACGGTGGCACATGCCTCTAATCCCAGAACTCTCAGGAGGCTGAGGCAAGAGGATTGCCAGTTTCAGCCCAGCTGGGGCAACTTAGCAAGACCTTGTTTCAGTCAGTCAATCAATCAATCATTCAACTAATCAATCAATAAAAATAAAATAAAACAGGGTTGGGGATATAGCTCAGTGAGAATGCCCTAGGTTCAACCCCAGTTCTGTGGGGATGGGTATATATTTATGGTGTACAATTAGACATTTTGAGATAGCTATACATTGTGAAATCTACAGTTCAAATGTCTTAAATGTTCTTTTTTTCTTTTTGCAGTGCTGGGGATCCAACCCAGGGCTTCACATGCAAAGCGAACAGTCCGCAAATGAGCTACACTCCTAGCTGTAATAACCTGTGCCATTGCCTTTTGCTGTGTTCCTGTCTCCTAAGTCTCTTTCATTCCAATTCCATTAACCAGGTGTTTCCTGATACGTAAACCAGAGCCTAGTAGTAACACACAAGCTTAGACCGTATCTCACTTCCTCTCTAAGGCCCTAGAAGAATCTTTAATCTGCACCAGCATAATCAATTGCTCAGGGTCTGTTTAATTCTATATTCTAAAACATTAAGAACAACAAGTTTTATAAGTAACAATGTCATTACTATAATACAAATAACGTAAATAATACTAACTTTGGATTATTAAAAATGAAAAACATAAGAGTGATTCTTGTTAGGTTTAAAATTAGGAAATTTAAACCCACAGTTCCTGAACTGGAGTCACTCCTAAAATAAATATGATGTCTGCAACCTTCTCATAAGCAAAAGCAGCCACTCTGATACATTACCGATATTGGCTCTCCTCTTGATCTCCTTCCGTCTGTTAGCAAACCAATTATATACTTTCAGGGAGGTAACTCGTTCCAGATCGGACAGTTTTTTGCCTGTGAATGCATGCAATAAAATTCAGGTGATCTATAACTGGGACTCAAGAATAACTAGTTTTAAAAAATAGCATTTTTCTTTCTTTGAAAGTTGCTTTTGATTTCATTTACTGATGAAACAACAGGTGCAGGGGGAATTTTTAAAAGCTTTATCCACTACTATGAACATTCATATAAATGAATACCCACTAGTACTTCAATTCAGAAAGCCATACACAGCATGAAAGAAGTGCATGAAGTCAGTTTACTAAGGTCTGGTTAAAGTCCCATCACAGTGCCAGTGAGGCCCCAGTCATTAATATCATTCTAGAGGTACAGGCTGCTCTTTTTAAGGCCTTGTACTAACTAGCTACCAGCTGTCTTAAGACACAGGCCATGGGACATGTTTCCTGGAAGGCCAAAGGCCCTGTGACCGTCCTTATTCTGACGTTCAGGCTGCATTAGATTTCTGTCTTCTCTGATGTCAAAGGTGATTTCTTATGGACAGCAATATGCTTGCCGGTAAGGACCCACCTGTAGCATTCCCTCCTCTCCTGTCTTTTCCCGTTATTCAGCTTTTAATCCACAGTGGGTAGAGAAACCAGAAAACAGATGTGTTAGGGTCTCAATAATATAGCGGTACAGAGATTTCCAGGAAGACTTCAAGTCCCTATGCCACTTTCGACTTGTGTAACACAGGGTACATACAGATTCTTTTCACGTCGGTGTGGAGGAAGCTGGGTTTGCAGGGTCCACACTGCCAGAAAGTCTGGCTTCTGGATAAGGGAGAATACACTTCTGCCTCAATGTTATAAAACACTGATACTTTTGCAGATAGTCTTTCAGTTGTTCAAAAGAACTGGCTAAATAGAAATCAGTTGACTCAACTGAGAATGGTTTTCTAGTATCAAAATCTGTAAAATGTGAAATATAACTGAAGTACACCACATAACATACATACGAACTACACACGTAGTTCTGCTGACCTGCATAGGAACAGCAGAACTTCAGGGTGGTATTAATGTACCTATGTTTTTTCTTCCTAAGCAGAAGTTATCCCAAGGTGGAGAGGACAGAGAAGCCAAGTCCAAAAAGAATTCCTTCCCTCAAAGGAATATAGAATCACACAATTTATAGCACTTGAAAAAAAATCTACTTTAATAATTTCATTAAGAAAATTTGCTTAAATATCTCAAAATTTAAAATTATTTTGGAACTCATATATTTATGATAAATAATTAGAAAATATTTCTACATTGAAAAAAAAAGTGCCAGTTTAAAGTGGCGAATGTTATGCACAGCCATCTCAGGACAGTCTCTGGTGCGGGTGTGGCGCAGAAGCGCTGCGTGGACGGGACAGCCACGGCGGGGCCGAGGGCGGGAGCACAGCGGTGCGGGCCTCCTTACCTGGCTTCTGTATAACTGCATTGCAAGCATTTGCAATCTCTTCTCGCTTTGCTTCATCTGGGTACTGATTCTCATTGAAGTAACTGCAGAGGCAACCAATACAGAAAAACTTTTCACTCTTTTGTGTGCTCATGAAAACACCAACTCTTCTTTGAGATGTAATGTCTGAACGCCCGGTCCAGGCTGTGCGATATGATTTCCTGTCGGATAAAAGCAGTCTCTTCTGTGTGTTCAGTAAAGTAGCCACAACTCATGCAGGGCCACTGAGCACTTGAAATAAGAAGGAGACTTAAATTTAAATAGCTACATGTGATTAGTGGCTATTATACACACTGCTGAGCTTCACTAAAAGATGACATAAAAATTTTTTTTTTGGTTTGCACGAGTGGTCAAAGTGAGACAGTCATGTCATCGAGGCACCAGTAGCAACAATATAACTTCTCTGGTCACACTGTTTGTAGTAGCAAAAATTGGAAATACCCAATTGTCTGATCACAGGAGATTGCAGAACACATTATGGGATATCTATATTCATACACAGCTATTTAAAAGAGACTAGGATAGAGCTCTGTCCACTGACTTGGAGGGCTATTTGACATATACTGAGTGAGAAAACAGTATGTGGAATAATACACATGTAAAAATATCACTGGAGGAATTTAAAATTCCTGTTTCTATGAATACCAGTTTGTATGGCTAACAGCTGGCAGAGTTCACACCGGGCTGAAAATACTGAATACTCCTCGTTGTGGGGGAAGGAACTTGGAGAATATTCAAACATTTTATTTTTCATATGTTAAAAAAAAGTAAATATTACTTTTGTTCAATAGTACTTTTAAAAATTAGGTTTGCTGAACCTTTCCTTAGAATTATCAGACTCAGAATTATGAGGTAGTATAAGAATGCTTAACACTAGTGCTACCTTTTCTATTATTTATGAAGTTAAAAAAAGAAAAAGAGCCAGGAATGGTGGCCTACGCTGCTTAGGAGGCTGAAGCAGGAGGATCGCCAAGAGTTCAAGGCCAGTCTGAGCTACAAAGTGAGTTTAAGGCCAGCCTGAACTACATAGTGAGACTTGTCACCCCCATCCTCAAAGGGCAAAGAAAAGAAATTTCAGGCCTTCAGCCCAGCAATTTAGGATTAAAAATTCTAATAACTGCCATTCTCTCAGGGAGTCCCTGTCCTGTGAGCAGTCTTTCCTGTTCTCCCACCACCCCTGCACTGCAGGTCCATTTCCATCCAGAAGCCTCCCAACCTGGTTCCTGCTGCGGCTCCCCGTGCCAGTCCTCTCACAGCGGCGCTCTCCTCTGCCCCACCTTGCCAGTTCCAAATCAGAAGCCATGTAACTATGTCCTGCAGTCTTGTCAGCACAGCCCACTGTTTCCAGCTGTATTCCACAGTTTACTTAAGTGTCTCTTCCTACGAGATTTCCTACTGTCACTTTGGTGCTCCAGGGTTCACGCTGAGGATTTTCCAAATCACTCTCTTCATAACCATCAGTGTGGGCATCACCAACACTTACTAGGACGTCAGGAGCTAGGACCACAGCTCAGACTTAATCAGAGTCCAGATTTTATCAAGATAGCTAGGTGCCCTGAACACAGAGTCCCTCTGAGATGAACCAATCACTTCATTCACTCCATTCAGCAAGTAGTCATTATCTACCTAATGTGCTTGGCACTGTGGGGAAATAAAAGAATTCCTTTCCAACTTCGAGAAGTTCACAAGTTCATAGAGAGAGCAAAAGGCCGAGGGCGTGTGGACAGTCCGAGGGTGTGCCCAGTGCTCGGGCAGGGCACAGAAGAGTGCACTGGAGCTTGAGTGGGCAGGAGGTGGCAAAGAAGAAAAGAGAAAGTAAGAGTATTTTGTATAAAAGGGAACAGCGCCTACAAAGGCAAGATGGGAGTCTTGTCTAAGAGCCCAGATGGGGTGCATATCTATAATCTTAACACTCTGGGAAGCTGAGGCAGGAAGATTGCAAGTTCAAGCCCAGCCTGGGCAATTTAGCAAGACCCTGTCTCAAGAAAATAAAAAATGTTGGGGACATAGCTCAGTGCAAAGGCCATGGTCTTTTTTCAGGTTCAACTTCTCCACCATTGTCTTTGATCTCATCCTCCCTTCCTTTCCTTTTCTTCTCTGTTCTTTCTGGCACAAACCACCGTTCTCAGTGCCTGTACAAGGGCCCCATCCCATCTCACTGATTTTATGATGAACACTTCTTCCTTGCTGTGATCTCTGAAGTCAGAATACATTTCTTAACTGATGGTCTCTTAAAATAATGACTGACAGTTTTTCCTCCCTTGTGGTCATGGGATGAGGTGTCTTATAATCAAGGTCTTCTTACATGTAGGTAATATGGTAGCAGCCAAGACCTAAGGCCCCATGAAAGCAACAGCCTCATGGCCAGTGCACCTCACGGTGCTAAGTTTCCATGCAAAGAATTGCAAGGACTGTGGCTGACATTCTACTCTTCCAATGTCCTGTTCATGTTCCTCATGCAAACCTCCTGTTCAGAAAGTTTCCAAGGCTTGCGTAGAGGCATTCAGAGTCCTCCCACACACTACCTTTGCATCTTCACCTGCTGCTGCTCCCATATATGCATTCTACAGTCCAGGAAAAGGAGAACCTTGTAACCTCTTTCTACTGCCTGTACATCTGCTTTTCTGCCTTCCCCCCACATATATCTTATCTGTCTTTCAGGGTGTAGCTCAAATATTTCCTCTTGGCCTGTCAGATGCCATTTTCTCTACACTGTGAGTCCCACGGTGCCTCATCTGTTCTCTTCCATCTGCTTTGCCTCAGTTATTCTTTCACACATCCCTACTACATAGGAGGTCATCTTAGGCCAGGTGCAAGTCTGACTCCACCTCACCCACACTCCTCCTTTTTAGTGCTGACCAGGTACTAATAATGAACAAAGTCACCACGAGTGCAGTGTGGGGGCTCCAAAAGAAACGGCGCCATGACACGTGGGCTATGACAAGCAGGGCAGTCCTTCCACACAGGTCTTGAAACATACATGTGTTACAAATGAGCGTCTCTGGGAGCAAGAATGCCAGGTAAAGATGGGGAACAAACACGGGTGGCAATAAGACTGGCTTTTCAGTCTGTTTTATATACTTCTCTGTTGGATTCCAAATAAACAAATGCCATTTTTATACATTTCTGTGTTAATAAAAACTTTGAGGAAACACTGAAGTAACTAAGAATTAGTTTAACGATTAGCAATTCTGTAAACAGTTCAACTATTTCAAACATGTACTGGGATCAGGGAGAAAATATTAGGATTGTGATTGGTCTTCTAGTGAGTAATAGTGAATAAAGATTTTTGAAAGCTAGTTTAAAATTCAGAATTATTCATAGTATATATGTTCTGTACTAGTTTAAAATAAAACAACATCAGGGGGAAAATTAGTAACTTTTTTTCAAATCAAAAGTTCAAGAGAGTAAGAATTAATACTGTTTCAAATCATTAAGCCTAGTTAAAATATTTTTTTTTCTGTTAAAGACCATTTATTTATTTATTTACTTATTTATCCATCTATCCATCTATCCATCTATCCATCTATTTTTGCAGTACTGGAGATTGAACTCAAGGCCTCTGCGCTGAGCTACAACCCCAGTACTTTTTTAAATTTTGAGACAGGGTCTCAATAAGTCATTAAGTTGCCTAGGCTGGGCTCGAACTTATGATTCTCCTGCCTCAACCTCTCAGTCTTGTATTACCAAGGAATGTGATACCAAGCCCAGCTCAAGATCTATTATTTTTATAATTAAAGCTCAATGTTATATAAATGTTATATAATGTTTATATAATTAAAGCTCAGTTTTATTTGTATAGCTCAGTTTCACAGCTGAGTTCTACCAAATATTAAAGAACTAATAACAATTCTTAAATTATTCCAAGAAATTGAAGAGGAAGGAATGATATTTCCCAAAATCATTCTATAAGGCTAGTATTATACTGATTCCTAAAACCACAGGACACAACAAAAAAATAATCTAGATGAACACAGATGCAAAAACTGTCAACAAAATATAAGAAAACCAAATCTAATAGCACATTAAAAAGATTATTCACCATGATCAAGTAGGATTCACTAGAGATACAAGCATTCAACATATGCAAATCAATAAACTTGTGACACTACATCAAAAGAATGAAGGCCAAAAATTATATGCTCATCTCAAAAGAAGAAAGGGAATGTGATAAAATCCAATATTCCTTCATAATGAAAACAGAACAAATTAGATATAGAAGGAACATATCTCATCATAAAGCCATATAAAAGAAGTTAGCAGGTAACAGTGGTGGAAAAGTTGAATGCTTTCTAAGATCTGGAACAAAACAAAAATACCTACTTTTAACAGTTTTATTTAATACACTACTGGAAGTCTTATGCAGAACAACCAGGCAAGAGGAAGAAATAAAGGGCATCCAAATTTGGAAAAGAAGTAGTCTTATGATCTTAAAAGATTTCAGTAACTAGAATGAATGAATTTAGTGAAGTTACAGGACACAAAATCAATATATAAAAATCAGTTACACCGCTATAAGCCAACAGAATTTTACCTAAAAAAAACTCAAGAAAGCAGTCCCTTTTACAAAAGTTACATCATAAAACTCTAGGAATCCAATTAACCAAAGAGGCGAAAGATTTCTACAATGAAAATTGCAAAACACTGATGAAAGAAATTAGAGAGGGCACTAAAACAATGGAAGACACACTGTGTTCATGGATTGGAAAAATCAGTATTGTTAAAATATTCATACTACCCAAAATGATCTACAAGTTCAACGCAAACTCTATTAAGATACCTAAGACATTCTCCACAGAAATAGAAAAGACAATCCTAGAATTTGTGTGGAACCATCAAAAACTCCCAGTAACCAAAGCAGTCAAGTCAAAGGAACAAGGGGGGATTTCAAAAGTAAGAAACTAGACCCCCTAACTCTCATCAACTCAAAAATCAACTCAAAATAGGTTAACAAATAAAGTAGAAAGGTTGAAGCCATAAAACTACTAGAAGAAAACATAAGAAAAACACTCACGACATTGGAATGGATAAGGATTGATTTTTT